TTATAAAAAAAATGTTTTTTTGAGACAAGAGTCTGGCTCTGTCACCCAGGCAAAAGTGCCATGGTGTCAGCCTAGCCCAGAAGTCTTGAACAATGTGGCTGGATTTTCTGCCCATGGTATCACAATGGCGGGGCTGAATCCTCTTCTGGAGGCTCTAGGATGAAATCCACTTCCAAACTCATTCAGGTTGTTCCTTGCAGTTGCAAGACTGAGGTCACCATTTCCTTGCTGGCTGTCAGCTGGGGCCTCTCTCAGCTCCTAAGGCTATCCACATTCCTTCTTAGGGGCCCCTCCATCTACAAGCCAGTAAAGACACATTCAATCCCCCATATGCTTCAAATGTCTCTGACTTCCTTTCTTGCTTACCAGCTTTTGAAGGGCTCACATGACTGAATTAGGCCCATTCAGTTAATCTCGCTTTTGCCATGTAAGATAACACAGTCATCATACTCATAAGTGTCACCCACATTCAAGGTGGGGGTGGATTATAAAAAGGCCCAAGTCATTAGAAGTCATTCTTAGAATTCTGCTTACCATGGTAAGACCCAGCCATTTCACTTGTAGGTATTTACCTAGGAGAAATGAAAACATATGTCTACCTAAAAAATTGTAGGTGAATATTTATGCCAATTTTATTCATAATAGCTAAAAACCAAAAAGAACTCAAATGTCCACCAACTGGTGAATTAATAAAACAAGTTGGGGTATGTCCATTCAATGGAATGCCACTCAGTAGAAAGGAACAGACTTCGACAAACATAACATGGAGAAATCGCAAAAGCATTATGTTAAGTGAAGGAATTCGGACACAAAAACTACACATGATTTAATTTATATGAAATTCTAGAAAAGGCAAAACTATAGTAACAAAAAGCAGATCAGTGGTCTGCTTTTGCAAAAAGCAGATTTTTCTGCAAAAAGCAGATCAGAAGTGGGGTAAGGGACGGGCTGCAAAGGGGCTCAGGGGAACTTTGGGAGGCGATGGAATCGTGCTCCCGCGCGAGGGTGGTGGGAGTTCCGTGACTGTATACGTGGGTCAGTATCATTGACTGTACAACTAACAACAGTGAATTTCATTATGTGTAAATTATACCTTCACAAAACTGAAAAAAGAATATGCTTTTTACGTTTTATCCAGCATTTCAAGGAGTTCTATTTTTTTACGTGAATACAAGAGTTTATTAAATAGCATAGCTTTTATCCACTATTCTTAAATCAAGCAATCAGTTTTGTTTCTGCCTTTGTTACATGTTTTCATTGAATGAAGGATCAACTATGAAAATAAAGTGTAAGGAAGGTATGGGTAACAACTCTGGCCCATTTAAGGTGTTCTATATTGGGAATTTCTCTACAATATAATCCACAAAATTCATCTAAGACTTTCTAACAGTGTCTAAATTCATAGCACTTAATAAGTGCAATTGCATAGTCATTTGATTATTTTATCTATCTTCTCTGTGCTAGACTATAAACTCCATGGGAACAGGTCATGCGTGTCTGTTTACCACTGTACCCCAGTACCTGACACATATTGTACCTTTGTAAATATTTGTTGAATAAATGAATAACCCCTCCCCCAGAGCAATTCTGAACACTGGAAAATGTGATTGCATGTATTTCTTCCAGCCGATCTCTGGTTACCTTCAACTGCATTACTAAAATCTTTTCTAAACTATAATTGAAATTTGGTCAGTTAGAAACCCTTCATTTAGCCCCATTACATTATAGAAACCACTTATCCTGACTGCCGTTATCTGGGCTGGATGCCCAGTGTACACTCAGAGTGTCACCATCTGGGCCGAGAGGGAGGACATTCTGCAGCCGAGGGCTGAGGCTGCGAGCTGCTCTGGCTGGCTCCACTGATATCTTTCCGTTTCCAGTCTTCTTTTGTCACCACAGACTAAGCACCCTATTCAACCTCAAGGCTTAAAGTCAAGGTTTTCCTTTTAATGCATACGTGATTCATCTAAACATTAAGAAAAATATTAGTACTCATGGGAAGGCAATGCCATTTGGGATCAAGTGAGACATTAACCAAAGCCAAAGAATGCGGAGAGGCCTTTGGGCTGGAGCCAACAGCAGAGAGGAGCCGGGCCAGGAAGGCACCAGACATTTCTCTGTTTAGGGAACTAATCAGACCCTCCATTCATTTGACCTTGGCCTTCAGTCTCTTATCTGTAAATGCCACACCCACCTCCCCTTCCAGGTCAGAACCGAGGTGCAAAAATGCCCAGTGCCAAAATCCTTCCTGGTTATTATGATCTATCAACAGGAAAAATCACAGGATAAACAGGCAATTCTCTTGCCTTTGTTCTTAGGAAACAAATCTGTAAGCACAAATTGTATAAATTTGGTGGCTGCTCTTAAAAATGTGATATAGTACACATTAGAAATTTGCTACCCAGCATCTATCAATACTCTCTCCTGGTAAAAGGACCTTGAATTTCCAGAGGAAATTTGGCTTGAGTGAGATTGAACCGACCCCAGGTTCCTGACTGGCTTGGAGTGGGTCCAGACTGGCTTAAGCCAACTGGCACAGCCACGGTGCCCCCAAGCCATCTGGACTGGTTTGGAGACTGGCACTAACCAAATCAGAGACAACAAGCCAGGAGAAGACATTTGCTGGGCTTTTTGGGAAAGTAAGCCTTCTTCATCTTATAGTAGCTCTGGAAGAAGAGACCAGCCCTTTTACCTCGGATGGTCGGTATGAGGATGTGAATTTTGGAGCTGCTGCAGCCTTTCTCCATTAATGCAGATCCCAGAGCTGCCTATGGGGCCACCTTGTGGAGCCTGTGGATTAAGCCAACACCATATAAGGCAGACTGCAGAGGACAGCAGCCAGGCTGTTGGTGACATCTTTTGAGCTGTTGGATCAAACCTCACCTAAGACCGTTCCCTCTAGAGTTTCGATTACCAT